AATTTTGACTGACTCAATAAAAACATCAAAATGACTCAAGACTGACTTAAACATAAAAGCCAAAAGAAATAAACGAGTTAGTAAATGACAAAAAGCCTCCCCTAGACTTACTTCACAACGTTCCAGTGTGAAAATAAATCAGAGAGGTGTAAAAAAAAACATAAATATAAATATTTGTGGTCGAGATACTTATCTGAGCGGAGCAACTGCTCCAAAACGGGAACAACCTTGTGGCTACTCTTGTCAAGTATCTCAGGATTTTCTGATTTTTGACCTGAGACTCAAGAAACTAAAACCAAAAATAAGAAAAAAGCAAATCCTAATGATCTTTACACTTACCAGTGGGTTGTCTCCCACCAAACACTTGGTTTAAGTCACTAGCTTGACTTTGTGATAGGGCTCAGTCAGGTGAGCATGAGCGCTTGTTTCAAAACAAGCTCCACAATCAGACATATTCAGCTTCAATACTCTGCTCAATAACCCTTTTACAGCATCTTCCCCTTTCTCCTTCAGCTCATCAGTGAGAATAGCTCTGACTTTAGAGAAAGATTTAGAAGTACCTTTGCACTTTACCTCATACTCAATAGAGTTCTCATCACACATATGAGGTATCAAAGTCATTGTAGGACAACCCTTAACCCTTTTCTTCTGGAATTTTTCTTTTTCCTTTGCATTCCCACTGAGTTTGTTGGTCTCAGTGTGAAGATCTCCATCCAGAACTTCTTTGATCTCACTCTTTTCACCAAGCTCCTTTTTATCAACAATTTTCAGCTGTTCTACACAAACCAGTGAGATGCAAGAGGCGTGTAATGTGGGAAATCTGGTGGGGACAGCCTTGTAGAAAACCTCCTTGTTGATGTTGGAGAAGGAGAATTTCTTATTAGACATATCGATGATTGGTCCCACTGTAGCCATAAATGATCTTTCAAGGATCAGAGGCTTCTCATAGTCTTTCTTCATCTCAACAACCTGAAATTCAGTATGCAAAATACAATCCCCAACTAGGTCAGGAAGGTTGTGAATGGGGCGATAAGGGACTGCGGTGGAGGAGTTTGCAAAAGCCAGATTCAACTGAGAAGGTTCAACATCCACAATGCCCAGCTCATCTACAATCGTTTTCGAGACAAGATTCATACTAGACCCAAAATCACAAAGAGCTTCCATAAATTCCACTCCAGCAATGGAACATGGAAAAAACAAACTTACCAGGATCAGAAACCTTAGGCAATTCCTTTAGTGATGGTGTGGTCTATGGTTTTGTATAGAGAGCCTTAATTTCCTCTTGAGTCTTTCTAATATATTTGAAGAACGAATGAAATTGCTTCATCTGCCGAGCATCTTTGAATGAGAGTTTTTTGGGAAGCCTTCTCACCATTTTATTAAAGCCTTCCAGCTTCTCTGCACTAATGGGATCCATCTGATGTCTAGGTCGAATAGGATATGGAACCTTAGGAACATAGACTCGAATTAGTGAAGTCTCAGCAGGTTCGCAAAGAGCAGTCTTTCTGGAGCTAGCAGGCTGCTATGTTCTCTCTTCTGTGACTAGAACATTCTCTGCAAATGGCTGCTCTGTTACATTACAGTGCTCAGTCCTAGGATTTTTATCGGTTTTTCTAGGGAACGTCCTTTGTTGCCTCTTGACACTCTCAGCAGCTGTTTGAGCAAGCTGAACTCAATCCTCTTTATGTGGTTGCTCACAATATCATATTTTGTATTCATCTCAGTGAACATGTTGTCCATTCTGGTGTTGATCTCTGAGGTAATCTGGTGCAATGCTTTTCCCTGAATCTGCTGTCCCTGCAATAGTTGCTGCATCATCATACCCAAACCTTTCAACTCATCTTGCGGACCACTGGTAGTAGCTGGAGCAGCTTGATGGTTGCTCTGCGACTGTTGCTGGTGTTGATTCTGATTCTGACCCACAAACTAGTTCTATGCCTAACTGAAAACAAATGTAATACCCTGAAAGTTCCGAGGAAAGCCTTGCTGATGCCTCGTACCTTGCACCTGGTTGTTCTGCGCATACCCCTTTCCATTGATGTAGCTGATCTCTTGTCCTTGGTTTTTCTTAATCAGCTGATCAACCTTAGATGTCAGCTTATCAATCTTTTGAGCATGTACGCTATTCACCTTTTTGGAACGGTGAGTCTCTGGATTTTTGTTGTACAAATTGGATGTCATGTTTTCTATCAGCTCAAATGCTCCATTAGTTGTTTGGGTCATAAGATCTCCATTGCTGGCAGAATTCAGAGCATTCTGAAATTCCCAATCAACTCCATCATATAAAATGCCTAGAAGGTAGTCATCTTCAAAGCCATGATGAGGGCACTCTCTGCAGTAATCATTGAAGCGGTCTCATACATCGCAGAAGGGTTCATCAGTCAATTGTTTAAATGAGGAAACCTTGTTCTTCAAAGTGGTTGTTTAGATTTCGTGGAGAAGTGACGTAGGAACGCCGATTGGACCTGTTCCCACTAAGTAAGAGAGCCAGTAGGGAGAGAATTCAGCCAGCTAGCTGCTTTGCCATCAAGAAAGAATGGGAACAGTATGCACTTAATGTAATCTGGTGGTACTCCACTGGCACCTGTGAAACTGCACACTTACTCAAAGCTCTCAATGTGCTCCATATGGATCTCTGCTAGGAGACCATTGAACATTTTCCTCTGCACCAGAGCGATCAGAGAAGACTTGATCTCAAAGTCTTGCCTCAGGAAGGGTGGAAGAACAATGGCAAAGCGTGTAGTAGGGAAGTTAGCGGAAGGTTTCTTTGCCTAATCAGAACAGCTTGCTAAGGGTGTTCTTGCTTCTGTTGCGCGGCGAGTAGAGCAGCTTGCTGCTGTGCTTGGACGGTCTGCTGCATTTGTTGTTGCATTGCTGCAGCGAGATCTTCCTGATGGCCGTGATCATCCAAGGTGGTGTTGGTTGGCCTTGGATGTTGTCTGTTTTTTTCTTTTTAACCTTGCTAGCTCCTGGTTGCTAAATGTAACTACCTCTCATTGTGCGTTGCTCTGAATATGTCTACTGGTCATGCAGCTGGAACATTAGCAGCAACAAAGAGAAAAGACCAAGTTAGAGGTCTTAGACTAAATAAATAACCAAAAAGAAAGTAAAAAGATGGTCCCCCATAACGGCACCAATTGATATTACGTGTATACGTATACCAATTAACCTAATTGCACACTACCACAATTGAATGGTATGTCGATGTAGGACTTTAGGATCAAATTCACAGAGACCAACTATTATATTTTTAGGGGATCAATATCAAGTTAAAATAATATGAGGGTTTTAAAATAACAAATCATATCAAGCAAGTAACAGAGTTGATTTGGTTTCAGTTTAAAAAAGAGAATACTTGTGAGCCAAACAATTATTCAGGTTCTATGAAGTCCTAGTCTAGAACTCAGATCACTCAAGAAAGATCAGCCTACTATCGTGATGCTTCACCTTTTATAAATCGATCTCAGCACCTAAACCGTCGTTTGGACTGAGACACGATGACAAACATTAAGATCAAGTCCGATAGGTTCACAAAACACCATAATATCTACCCTCGCTGATTAGGGATGCAAAGCTCATTCATGCAATTTCTAGCTACCTATAACACGGTTAGTGAACAGATTCAGCCTAAGATCAAACACTAAGTGATTAGTTTAGAATAAGCATTAAGTGCTGCAAAGAATGAAGACAATCAAAGTATTAACCTATTTATGTCTAGCTCACGGATCTAACATCCTAACACCCTAGACTAAGCAAGTGGATTACTCAGCCATGAACAGAAAAATCACAAAGATAATGGATGAAGAAAACATGCTGAATCAATAGATAAATAAGATATGGTTCAGAGGGTTCTTCTCTAAATCGAGAGAGAAAGTCTTTTCAGTTTACAAAGTAGCAAAATCAAAATAATCCAAAAGATCTAGAGTTCTTTCTCTGTAAAAAGTAGTGTAGAAAATAATAGAAAAGATGAAGAGAATATATGTGGAGTTTACTGGCGGCAGGAAGAGTAAATTGGGATGTTTAGGGAAAATTCTAGATATTAGAAGTTTCCTTAAAAATCTACGCCGCGGGAATAGGCACTCCGGCTGCTAAGCTGCTCCGCACGGAAATCTCTAATTTGTATTATTTTCTGTCTTTTTTACTCCAACTGGTCCATCTCATATATATCCAATGTAACTCCAGACCTGTCATGACTCAAAAATAACTAAAAAGACTCGATAAAGACTCAAAATCACTTTAGAAAACATTGTTAAAATGTGCCAAAAACACTACATATCAAGCATCCGCTTGCTGCCATTACTTTTATTAACAATTTTCGACCCACATATCAGAAGTGTTCTCTTTAGTCTCCTGGCAAATCTCCTATGTCATTCCTTTCTCCAGTTCAGGGTTTGATGGCAAGTGGTTACAATCACTCTGTTTATTTTTTTCTATTTTTTTTCCTTTTAAAAGTGGCCACATATATTTATTTTTACTTCTAGTCTTTAAAACTCTAAGACCGTTTAACTCAATCTGAGTTGCTATCCATATGTTTGTTACAATTAATTCTGAGACATGAGTAGCTAACATACAAAGTTGTTTACCATCTTCAGTTACTGATAAAGTCACAACAGAGTGAGTAAGATTATCTTCCGGCCGAAGAGACGCACTTACAAATCGAACAAATACCCATACATATTCATGTATGTGCAATCGTTACATTTTTATGTCTATTTTATTAATACAAACATGAACGTATCAAGTTCTAGTTTGTGTTAAATTTACATTTTTTTTTCTTCTAAAAACTAAGTTTTTGAAAAACAAAATGTGAAAACAAGGCTTCATAGTTTCTTATATAACTTCTGACATTACATAACGATTTAAAAAAACCTTAACAAAAAAACAGAAACAACACTTATAAGAATAAAAGAAAAATGGGAAATTGACATAATTTTTTTTTTTTAAAAACGATTCAAGACTTGGAGAACACATCAACACCAACTAGATAAGAATGCACTGCATCACCTCGTCAGTTTGACAAATTCATCATAGCTGACCCGACCATCGCCATCAACATCAAACGATTCGATGAAATTACGAGCATCCTCATCCGTTACTTTTTTCCCAGTAACTGTCAACACAAACTTTTGATAGTCTGCTGCAGTTACGAAACCATTCTGGTTTTTACATCTAAAGGCCTAAACATTTCAATTATTTCTTTCTTTTCCTCCCATGACAGTTTAACATCTGTGGAAAACTTTCCGAACATCACAACTTTTTCTATATTATCCCTGACAAAAGAGAAAACAAAAACTTATGAGATAATAGAAAGTCTACTATTGAATCATCTATTAAGAAAGACAAAAACATTCTAAACATGATGAAATTTCTCTGTAAAACCAAACATCATAATTTATTTATTTTATTTTTTCTTAAATGCTTTCAACAAGGGTTAAGAATCCCTCACTTAGCGTTCAGTTTGACGAACTCATCATAGCTGATCTGACCATCATAATCTACATCAGCTGCCTCAAAAATCTTATTAACTTCCTCTTTGGTCACTTCTCCCCCATCTTTTGTCATCGAATATCGAAGCTCTGGTTTAGTTATGAAACCATTCTTGTCAACATCGTGAATCCAAAATTTTTCCCTGAGCTTATCCACTTTCAGTTTGTTCAACATAACTGTGGAAATCTTTTCGAGCATCGCAGCTTCATCAGGCCTAGCCAAAAAAAAGGAAAACCAAAATCTTATGAAATTATAGAAACTACTTCACCACTAAATCACCTATTAAGAAATATTAAAAGATTCTGGTTCAATGAGCCAAAAGAGACAAGTAACAAACCAGTTACGAGAGTGTTCTCCAACTATGGTTGCTACATATGTCAAAGCTTCGATCCATCTCCGCTTCTTTTCCTCTGCTACACCTACACAGGTTTTCTCGAATGCGTTCCCAAAGTCTCCCTTCTGTTTCCGTATATCAGAGGGATCAACGTCATAGAAAATGGGGATCACAGTCTGCCCCGAAGCTTCTTTGCACTTCAAGATTTCAAGAAGTTCATCTAAACAACAGCTCGACGAAGCGTAATTCTTCGAGAGCACAATGATGGACGCTTTTGCTTCTCTAATTGCTTGTATTAGCACAGTTCCGATCGGCTGGCCTCTCTCCATCTCCTGATCCTTGAACATTTTGATTTGTTTCCTTGTGAAGATGTTATGTAAGTGACTGATGAATACCCTACGAACATCTGGCCCGTGGAAGCTCGGGAAGACAACGTGAGGCAAGGAAGAAGAGGCCGCCATGCTAGAGATAGAGCAGAAGAGAGTTTGAAGGAAGTATTATAGTGATTGAGGAAACAACAAGTCCCTTGTTCATATATATATAAGCAAAACACGTAAAGAGAAGAGGAAATTTCAAAGGGATTTGAGTGAGACTGTACTGGACCACTGGTTTATTTCCACAGAAGTCCTACTTCATAAAAGTTTGTTATTCCTTGTAGCCGCCGAGGACGACTGGCTTGTTTTTACTGGTGAATTGGATTTTGAATTTCTAAAAGTTAAAACTAAACAGAAAAAAAAACAGTTACACTTTTGGTTCTACGATTTCAAATTCCTGTTTGAATCCGAATCATGTCGCAATCTACGAAATCCATTACAATCACCTTTTTAAGACATCAAACATAAACGTTTGCTCTTTCCATCCTCACAAACCATTGTAGGTCTGTAAACTGACAACTGGTTTTATATGCACATTTTGTCGGTACAATTGTTAAAGATTCTGACTAATAGTCATGTTGGAGATAAATATCATACATGGAGCAGAGAAGATGAGATTGATTTACTAATATATAAAAGTCTTGGACCAGTTGACTTATTGTCATGTCAATCTATCTTATCTATCTTATTAAAGTTAAAATACCAATATGAATTAACTATTAATATTATTCTTTTAATTATATTTAATGTCATTAGAAACTAACTAATTTTAGTTTTTTATCAATAATGAGTCTTAAAAAAATATTTTTTAAAACTACAATCAATTATTTAATTATGGTCATCATTTAAGGATTGTTTCACATAACAATATATTTAAAAAAAATCTTCCTTAAAGTAAACAGTTAATTAATTTTATCTATAAATAATATGAAATAAAACCAATATGCAATCATTTTACTATCCAAAAATAATTAGTCCATTTATATTATATATAATACTTATGTAAATTAATAATACAAAATTAACATAAAAACAAATAACAATTCAAATAATTACTTACTTATTATATTACTAATAATTTTTTATATGATAAAAGTTCAAAATAAGAGAACAACATTCAGTACTATATATAATAAAAATAACATTAAATACAAATAGTAATCCAATGCTAATATCACAACATTTATGTACAATAAAATATACAATATATTTTTAAAACTTAAAACAAATATCTGCACAAATGTCCGGATAAAAATCTAGTTAGTTTTTAACTGAAAATCCAGGAAACTTAACATTGTATCATATCGAGCCCACCTGACTCTTTAATCTTACCTGAAAAATGGCCCGATAATCTCACTAATTGATGGCCCATAGAATGGTTTAGTTCCATCGAAATTAGTAGAAAAAAACATAGTCTCGAAGGAAATATGATGAATTTTATCGAAATTAGTGATTATATTCACCATTATCTCTTGAGAGCCTGTTCAATCTGGTGTTCGGTCCGGTTTCGGTTCGGTTTTTTTGGTTTTCGGTTATTCGGTTTATAAAAATTAGCTACCATATTGGAACCATATTTAATTTGGCTTGGTTCGTTTTTTATATTACCGATTTTCGGTTTGTTTGGTTTTATATCAAATAACATTATTATTTGATTTGGTTTCATATTATATGAATTTAAAAAAACATATTGCCAAAACTATCATTTATTAAAATATCCTAGGTGTTCATAAATATAAATTTGTGAAATTAACAAAAAAAAAAGACCAACGATTCAGTTTTGTACAGCTTTTCTTATTTTCTCTTTGTTCTTCCAAATAAATTACATGGTACAATCTAATTTCACAATTTCTTACAACATGCAAAACCAAATCAAATTTAGATAATAGTTGAAGAAAATAAAATAAAACTATTAAGATATATCTTCAAAATGAATAAAAAGGTAAAAAACAAGACTATTCCAAAAAAATAAATGGTTATATAATGTATATATTTATATATTTTTTCTTTTATCGATTTTGTTCGGTTTATTCGGTTATAAACCTAACTATATCCAAATCCTACGGTTTTTATAAAATCATATCCATTCGGTTTATATGGTATATACCAAATCTAAACCATATTCTTTATTTCGGTTTGTTATGGTTCGGTATTACCATATTGAACAGCCCTACTCGAGAGGGTGTTGTAGATAAATATCCCACAAGGAAAATAATTTGGAAGAATCTGCTTACTGCTCGTTTTAATTCGGAAGCCGTGAAACTTAATAAGTCACAATCTTAAATGTTTCAAAAGAGAAATGAGATTGATCGATCTCTATGTTCTGTTCTTCTATCAAGTATATTTTACAAATATTTTCTAACAAATTAAGTTTACATTTTATTTGGTATATCTACAAACTTATGAACGTGAGTTGTATGAGGCTAAGAGAGAAGAGGAATTGTCAAAGGAATATTGAATGAGACTTAGAATGCCCTTTATCAAAAACAAAAACAAAAATTGAATGAGACTGTACTGGCAACTACTGGCTTGTTTTGACGAATTCGTCGGCGACTCATAAAGATTTTTCTTTTTGGCGTGCAGATGCTGAATACTAAATACTCACACAGACTCATAAATTTTTTGTTTGTGAAAATGTTAACACTGATAAGACTCATAAAGACTCACAAATTGACAAAAAACAAAGACTCAATATTTTTTTTTGTTTCTGGTGAAAATGTTAAAACTGATAAGACTCATAAAGACTCATAAAATTTTGTTTTCTTATACCTGCCAAGATTACTGGTTTGTTTTTATTTGTAAATATTCAAAATATCTTTTATTACATAAAGCAGAAGTCATTTAACAATTTTGGTGATGACATCTGTCATCTAAATTTTCTATAATTCTTTTTTGTATTATTGTTTTAAAGATGACGGTTTGAAATCAAAACTAAATTATCTTTACAACTCACACTTCCCACTTTATTTATAACTGCTTCTGTTGCCACTACCGTGTCAATCATCTACAACTATATAAGCAAAGATACCATTTTTTCTTGGAACCAAAAACGACGAGCACGAACCTGAAAAAAGGTTCATAAAATTTGTTGGGTTTGTATTGATAGATCAGTGGCAGTTTTATAGAGATATTAGAGTTTATGTTGAAATATGCCTTGAATCTGCATCGATCGATCCAGGAGTCATGGACTGGTCGATCTGGCCGGACATGTATCGGTCGATATAATAGCTTTTGTATCGATCAATATTGTGTCAAATACGAGAAAATATGGAAAGTTTCATTAAACGTTTTCTTATATATCTTCAGGGTTTTACTCTATTATGTAACACGAGTTGTACTCTGAAAAACTAGCCTCCACTAATAAAGTACTCCTTTTGCCCGTGGATCAAACCACGTTAAATCTATGTGTCATTCTTCATTGTTTATCAATCTGTTAATTTGTATCTTCTCACATCTGTCATAACAAGCTGGTATCAGAACTTCGGGTTGAATCTGGTGAGAAGATGTCTGGGATGAACATGAAGATCGACAAGTTTACTGGAAGGAACAGTTTCAGTCTCTGGAAAATCAAGATGAAGGCGTTACTGAAGCAACAAGGTCTTTGGGCACCGTTGTCTGGGAAGAAGGCTGAATCTGTTACTGCTGAGATGGAGGTTATTGAAGAGAAGGCGTATTTACGATCTTTTTATGTCTGGCAGATGAGATCATCATCGAGGTTTCTGGAGTTGATACTGCAGCTGATTTGTGGTTGAAGTTAGAGAGTCTATACATGACGAAGTCTCTGACTAAGAAGCTACTTCTGAAACAACATCTTTTCGCACTGAGGATGCAGGAAGATACATAACTTCAGGATCACCTTGATAGTCTAAATTCCATTCTGTTGGATCTGAGGAATATTGACGTTAAGGTGGAGGATGAGGATGCGGCACTGATTTTATTGGTTTCACTTCTTAACTCATATGAGAACTTTGTTCAGTCATTCATAGGGAGTAAGGATACAGTGATTTGGAGGAAGTCAGGTCAGCACTTCATAGCAGGGAGTTGCGACACAAAGCATCTAATTCTGGTACAGATGACCAAGCTTCTGGGTTGTTTGTAGGTGGTGGAAAGAACTTTGGGAAAGACAAAAGGTCGTTTACAAAGGGTCCTAAGCCAACTGATCTTTGCCATTATTGCAATGAAAGAGGACACTCGAAGTCTGATTGTCCTAAGAAGAAGAAGCAAGCTGATTCTGCTGCTGTAACAGAGAATGAAGCTAAGTCTGATGACGATATTGCTCTAGTTTCTCATAGAAAAACATATTCTAGGGATGTGTGGGTTCTAGACACATGAGCGTCATATCATATGTGTACAAGGAGGGAATGGTTCTCAGACTATGAGGAAGTGACTGATGGCAAGATCAAGATGGCGAATGATTTTGCTTGCGATATTGCAGAATCGGTTCCATTAAGCTCATGACACATAAGGGTAGAATCTGTACATTGACTGGAGTTAGACATGTTCCGTCTATGTCCAAGAACTTGATCTCAGTTAGTCTTTTGGATAACAGAGGTTTCAAGTATTCAGGTGGAGATGGAGTTTTGAATGTCTACAGAGGGTCAGTTGTGATTTTGAGAGGTTTCATTCATGGTACTCTGTATTTGCTGGAAGGTTCTACAGTTTCAGCAAATGGTCTAGAACTTTGTTCATTAGAGTTCAATCAGTTTTGTAAGGATGCAACAGTTACTAAGCATCTTACAGTCAGAGATACACCACAGAAAAATGGCGTAGCAGATATAATGAACCAAACTTTGCTAGAGAAGAGGAGGTGCATGTTTTCTACTGAAGGTTTGGAGAAGAGGAATGGGGATTCTGACAAACACATAGAGCTGCAGGAAGTGCAGTCGGATGAACCGTGTCGATCGATGACAGATCAAAAGTGTCGATCGATGACGAATAAACAGTGTCGATCGATGACGGATCAACAGTGTCGATCGACGTCGGATGTTCAGTGTTGATCGACATCAGAAGAAGGGATCGAACGATCGACGTCAGACGAGTTCTCTGTTTCTGGAAATCAACCTGTTGAGTTTGAAAAATGCAGTAATGCTAGAGATAAACCAAGGAGAGTTGATGTCAGGCCACCAGAGAGATATCACTTTGATGATATGGTGGGTTATGCACTGCAGGTTGCAGAGGAAGTGGATACTTACAAGTCATCCACTTACAGAGAAGTTGTTTCTAGTTCTGAGTCTGAGAAATGGTTTGTTGCAATGGAAGATGAGATAGATTCTCATGAGAAGAATCATACATGTTTTTTGGTCACACTATCACCTAGGAGAAAGGTTGTAACTCCCATGTGGTACAAGAGGTTTGACAGCTATATGGTCAAGTTGGGCTACGACAGGAGTCCTTATGATTGTTGTGTTTACATGAGCAAGGTGGAGGATGGATCATATATCTACTTGGTGTTGTATGTAGACGACATGCTGATAGCTGCCAAGAAGAAGTGTGATATTTAG